AAGGACGACTAACAGACGAAAAGAGGGAGCAAGCGAGATAGCAAGCGAGACAGTGGAACAGAGAAAGTTTAAACAGGACAACAGCACACAGGCAGCCGTTAGCCTTTTTTTTTGGCAGACTCACAGTTAAACTAAGTTCATTCATTTTATACTCATTGCGCATTAAGATAAAGACTGGAATAACTCCAAGACACGATTTTAAAGTCTTCAGTTTAACAGAACCTTGCAGAAAATTAAAAATATAATCTTCTCATGTGAAGAGCATACAAGAAGGCATTTTCACATAATATTAATATAACTTAATATAATATATAATAATTATTATATTAATATTAAGCATTATTAACTTTAAATCGCAATGTTATGTATACCCTGAACCTATTGAAAACTGTTATAAAGGATAGAATGGTATTGTGAAAATGTTTGTATTAGCCATTAACCATACGACATGTTGTATGTTGCATGGTTAGTGTTGCAACAGAAATCTCTGACCCCTTAATTTATAATATATATTCTTGATCAAGTCGACGAACTGAACTAGGGACTCGACAGTTCAAATGCATACATCTACGCAGATCAAGTCTATTTTTTTTATCGAATATATTTTGTGCAACCTATTAATTTGGATGGTAAGAAACAAACGAGCAATATATAAAAAAAAAGAATGTTAAGACAAATGTCGCTTTGCAGCAAGAAATGACAACTGAATATGAGGTCGAATATCTAAGACAGAAACTAAATGTTCAAGCTAAGCATAGCATACCAATTGAGTTGGCCAAAAAAGAGAAAGTGGACCTCCGTTAAAGATCACTAAGCGCAAAACGTTGAGATGGGGACACAAGCAACAAGAGCAACATAAAATTACGAACAGCATAAAGCAACGGGCCAAATAATGAAACTAGGTCGGTTGCGCTGCGCCTGTTGAAACCAAACCGAGTTTGTTCGAACATGTTCGATCTAGCCGGAGTCTGACGCTGCAGTTGCATCCAACCCAACAGGGCGCTCGCACATATTTATTTCTACATACATACATACATACATAAGCAAATGCAAGCCGACTCGCCGGGCTTTCGAAATGACGCTCTTCGTGCTCAGAACATGAGTGTGCTGTGATCGCAGGAAGCGGCAGTATAAATTTTACTGCGACTGCGGTAGTTACAATTTTAAGACGGGTTTTAGCAACTGCAACTTATGTAATCAATGAGATTGAACAGAATTTAAAAGAAAAATTCAAAGCAATATTCGACTGCCCCAATTTATAGATACATTTATTTAAACATGGATAGAATGTATGTACATACCATATGCAAATGTGCTTACATATAAGTTACTTAGCTTATAATTTACACATGTATGATTTAGATTATCCAGTAACTTTGCTTCATTTTAAATTTCTTTAAAAATTTTAAATTTTATTTATAACTTCAACTCATTGAAAACTGGTATAATTTCTCTAACAGGCAGAAGGAAACATCTCTGACCCTGTAAAGTATAAGAGTCTTAATAGACAAGCTTAAAAATTATAAGAGCTAGAAACATGCAATTTTCACCGTAGTTTCTCTTTTAGTAAGAGTTTGTTTCAAATCATGGATCAAACAATAAAAACTGATAACGAAATCCGGGTTTTGAGCAGGGCTTTAGTGGCAACATTCAAGAAAGTTAAAATTTAGCTACATATCCTTGGCGAAATTATATTCTTCTGTAGAACATTTTATCAAGATAAGCTACAAAACAGAAGCCAGCGCAAAGCGCAAGAATTTTAAATTTAAATGTGTTCACGTACTTTCGTATGCGTTTTTTTCTTCTCTTCATTCTATTAATAGAATTGCAATTCCGATTGTATTGCATGCTGGGCTGTGTGTACATATGTACTGCAATTTAAGTACATTTTCTTTTATACAAATACAAATGTTAGTAAGTTATTACAAAATAACTATCTTCTTATTTTCTTATAAAGGACATTATAATTTTGTCATAAAATGAGTCATTTCCGTTGGTAAAACCTTAGACGAAACTCTCTCACACTGTTTTACGGAACTAATCCCTTTTATTCTATACTAACGGATACTACTGGATATCTAGAGCCATATAACCTTTATACGGCAATTTACCACAGTTACGGGTGGAGTTTCCAAAATTTTGAAAAAAATGTTTCAGAAAGATCCTTAAAACTGAATTTGAACTCGAAACTTCACCCACCAAATCAACGAAAAAGGGTGAGCACACAAATTAATTGGTCGATTTCCCAATTCCATCACAAGTTCAGTTCGCTAATTATTGCTTAAGCTTCTTTTGGCTTGGGGCTCTGCGTTGATCATCAGTCAGTCATTTTTATATATAGGGATTAATTAAGCCATGCAAACAGCGTCTACTTATGTGTTTATATAACTATGCAAATGGGAAGGCGGGGCAAAACTCTTGATTCTGCTGGCAGAACGAAACAATCTCAAGGTCTTGCGTCAGAGCATTTGCAATGTTGTGTGGGGTCAGGCCAATTCGAATGCGAATACAAAATGTGTATGCAGATATGCATACATACATATGTATATACACATATACAAAAATACGGGTATGTGTGTTTGTACATGTGTGCGGTTACGTGCGGTTACTTCACACATGCCCATAAAAGTTCTTATTAGTACATATGTATGTACATATGTTTGTATGTATGTATGTTCTTATGTGGGTGTTTGTGTGTAAAAACTCTGCCTACCATAACTAAGAAGCGAATGAATTAACGTACATACATACATACATACGTACACAGCTAAAGCTGCAGTTGGTGCTTTAGTTCGCATTTATAACTTCACATTCGGTGGCATCTGGTCGTACATAGCTACATACATACATGTCTGCTTTGCCATGCATACATATGTATGTACATATATACATACATATCTGTTTCACCACATTCAGTTGCTGCCAGAGCGGACGATCGGCAGCAGGTTCAAGGCCAACGCCAGAAAGGTTCAAAATGCCCATGGTGCGTCTGTATGAGTGTGCGAAGAGACACGGCATTAAAAAAGGAATATACATATGTATGTAAGTATGCATTATACATATGTATGTACCTATGCGTGTGTATGTGTACCACGCCCCATTATTTGTATGTTCATATGTACATGCATGTATATACATATGTACATATGTATGTATTTATGCATAAAAAAGGGAAATTTATTGCTGGTCAACAACACCGTTTAGTGGCGCTTATGTAATACGATCTCAAATGGGGGCGCTGATAAAGACATGGCTTGCAGCTCCACTGTAAATACAAAATATATGTATGTATGTACATACTTGCATACTTACATATATAAATAAATATATGTACATACACTCATACATATGAAACGTAAGGGTATGAGAGGACTACATTCTATATTACATAAAGCAACGAGAGACTACAATAAGATCAGACAGCGACACAAATGCAGTCTGAACGATAATTCTGCTCTCAGAAGTTCGGTCGAAAAATGTTCTCTTTTTGCAAGCACGAAAGGCGCAGCCATTGTTGCTCATGCTATGTGAGCGTGTGAGTGTTTGTGATCGGTTTGTTTTGTGTGATCGCAGAGTTAATGCACTCCAAAGAGAAGTTCAAGGCTGAGCAAATCAGTCGCTCACTCAGTTTGTTCATTTTCATGGCGTCAATAAATATGTTGTATATGTATGCGCACATTCAGACCGACCAGAGCGAGAACACTGATACAAATTTACATACATACATATATGTATGTATTTTCAGTAAGATCATTTTAGCTGCAGCACAAACAACTACAGCAAGACCAAGAAAGAGAATGAAGATTAAATTTAGTAGCGTTATTGGCGTACGCACATGCGCATATGTCTATACATGCACACGTATACACATACATACATATATGTATGTATATATATAAATAAGCCTAAAATTGCACAACTGGGCTTAAGCTCAAGAGAAAACAAATTTTTTATATAATAACAAGTTAAATAAAGACAAGTAAGAGCGCTGCAGTCCAGTGTGCGTGAATATAAAATCCCTTTCAGCCAAACGTTTGCCTGTTGCTGGATGTTTTGTAATCTTTAAATTTAAAATATAGCCCAATACTAATTCCAAAATATATATATAGAATAGCAATTTTCAGCAATTTTTTTTTTACTTAAGAAATAGGAAAAGATATTAACAAAATGTGATAAGATCGTTTTGCCTTTGGTATCTGATCATATGTACATATATATTTTCATAATATTGATAATATTATCTCTAAGGTTTTGAAAGCTAGATAAACCTAATTTGGTATATAGACACTCGTTAAGCTAAGCCCTTCGTTCGCCAAAAAATTAAAAAATGATTTTGAGAAACTTAGTTTGGTGCCAAATTAAGGCCCTTAAGGTTTCACAATGATCGGGCAATATACATCGAGATAATCTACGTAAGCATTTCCTAAGGGAAGAAACAGCGCACCTGCAGCTTCAACTGCGCAGTAAGCGGCGCGTGTGTATTATATAAGTGTAGATGCAAAAAGCAATATTTGTTTTCATTCTTTAGGTGCTGTTAGTATTTAAATAATTATATAATATTATTTTACAATAAGCATACAATATATAGAGCCGTCATGGTTGACATTTTTTTCGCGACACCGTCCCGCTCATTGTTTTTTGCCCTGCGAGAGTAAGTTTGCTAAATTGTCGGCCAACGACAAGCCTCGAAAACCGAACGATCAGTGCAACGCCGTCGCGCGCTCAGTGTGCAACGTCGCTGCTGCTGATTTGCTTGTTGTTGCTATATGTATGTATGTATGTATGTATGAGACTCAGATAATTGTATGCATGCATATGCAGAGAATGTTCTCGCTCTCCCTCCTGTTCTCACTGCAACGCTTTGCTATCCCGAACAACTTCTAGATCTGCGTGTAACTGCTCACCCAAAGGGAAAGACATTTACTCTCAGTGCACTCAACGATTCAATCGTCGAATTTGTTTGAGTGTGAACAGGCATTAAAATTTGTCAGTCCTTAGAATTATTATGCAAGCTTTTTTATTTGAAACGAAATAAGTCCCAAAAGACAAAACCAACAAGTAAATAGAATTTTTATCAAATATTATTACTTTATTTATGCCAAACTTTTAACTGACTGATTGACTGCATTTTTTACTGTAGTTACCTATGTGGCGTAGGTGCACGGAAAGACTGCGGTTTTCGAAAATTCTAGCCGCAAGTATGGAAAAATCGCGAGAACGTTTGTATGATTCTTTTTTGTTTACCATCCGTCCTCAAATTCATTTTCAAAGTTCTTTGTCAAAATTAATTTGAAGGGCATTTCGCCATTTTTGGAAAATTCATCCCTCCTTGGTGAAAATGGTGGTCAAAGATTTGGTAGGTGGCGTTCCGGCCTCAAATTCATTTCCATGGATTATATACATAAAATATCAGTTGAGACGTGTTTCACATTTTTCGCAAAATCAAAGCTTTCTCGGTGGAAAGGGCAATTTAAAACTAATTTTCAAAGTTCCTCAAGAGTTTTTTATGTGTTTCAGCGATTTGGGAAGTTCCATGATATATGAAAGTTGTTTGTTTACCGTCCGATCAGTTTCAAAATCATTTTCAAAGCTTTTTTGAGAAAATTTATTTATTTATATACATATGTATATATATGTATATATTTATATTAATTAAGTTACTTTTATTGCATGTACAATTCAAATAATGAACGTCGCAAATTTGGTTCAATCCGTTCGTTGGTGTTGCTGCTAATATTGTCGCTGCTATGGCTGGCAACTGCGCAAATTGTTCAACCGAACAAAGAGTGTGAGAGCTTGATCAAGAGAGAAAGAAAGAGTGAGAGTGCGAAAGAACAGTTTCTGGTTTATTGACTGACCAATGACCAATAAACCTACTGTTTGATACAGGCTGTGACTTCAATGCGGTTGCAGCTATGCATTGGGATTTGTAGTCTCTCTTTGCCCGTAATATTTTGTTGCTGGCGTTCTAAATAAGGCATTTCTGAAGAATGGCTGCGCTGCACACAAAAGGGATAATATATACTATGCAGTGTTGGTAAATACTTAAGACATACACATGTGCATTTATTGTATACTTGAAGAAATGAATGAATACATATCTACATAAATTTGCATATGTGTCTGATTGTGTGTGTTCCTGTGTCGTATTGCGCATTTTTCTTATTCTTCGATTATTTCGTAATAGCCGCATTATCCACGACGATCGGGATAAGGAAGACAATTGCAGTTTTCATCTTGCATTTATATGTATGTATGTATGTTTATTTATCTGTGTGAATGAATGTATTGGGCATGTGTGTGTGTACATATGTACGATTAAAATAAAGATAGAAAATAATGGGAAATGTCTTCTATTTGGAAGCAACAGTAGCAGAAGTTGCGGTACATAATGGCAATAGAAAAGACGATAATAATTACTATAGAAGCAACAACAATTAGTAAACTAGCAAAAACATCAACAACGACGAAAAAATTTGGAAAGTTTTAGTTGCTGAAATGCATAATTCATTTGGCTTGTTTGACGTACAGCCAACGCATTGAAAATAGACGACGCGCTTGTAAAAGGCTGCCCTAAGAATGAATTCGCAACCAAGCCAAGCTCAGTTGATAGCAACTGAAGAGCAGCGAGTGAGTGTTAGCAGAGAAGCGTAAGTAATCGATGTAGGTACATATGCATGTTTGTATGTATGTATGTATGTAGGATGACAAAACAACAAATGAAGCGCATTGAGCAAAACTTTTACTCTGGCCTCGCTCTTGCTGAGGTTATTGACACCAAAGCACATGCAACACATACGTAATATACACATACATACGTATGTATGTGTTCATATAAATACATATGTATGTATGTATGTAGCTTCGGGTAGCTTCTACTCGCATACGAGTAGCAAGAAGAAAAATTAATTAAACAATTGGCGTAACACTTTCTCTTCAGCAATAAAATCAAAACTGAATATCTCTTTAGTGTTGCTTTAATGAGCATTGGGCGTAAGTGAACGTTCTATTCCGTAGCCTCTTGCAACCTCACAAGTTTATTTTCACCAGTTGGAGAGCTCAAATGTAGAACAGCCCTCAAAGCAAGCTAGCCAATACATAAATAGCTACGTATACACTGTCTTATTGCTTGCACACAAACGAAAGCTTGAACCGACGCAGCATGTTTGAGTCGCAACCTGCATGAAAGCCATGGCCAAAGCCGGGCAGTAGGTAATTCAAACGCCATTGACTGTGACTGTGAGACTTAAACCGGTTTCTTATGCTCTCGATTTGAAATTCGGTTTTTGTTTTAAACAGCGGAGACGGACAGCGGTGAGTAATGACATGCTTGAGGTTTATTACGTTCTTTAGCTGATCTTGCCGCAGCAGAAGTTTTTTTGTGAGAATATGTGCGCGTGTGTGTGTGTGTGTGTGAGAGTTAGTGAGTACGCCGTTGTGGCCGCTGCCACGGAAGGCAAATACACAAATCCGTTATTTGACCCAATTCTAAACTGGAATCGAAAGACGAAAAACTACAAGCCCGAAAAAGTTGCACCGACGGAACGTAAATGTTAAGAGAGCCGCGCTGACACACATGTGTGTGCACACTTACATATGCACATTCTTTGTATAAGTTGGTATTTGGCTTTGTGTTGTTGGAGAGCTGCTGTCATGTGTGTGCTCGTTCGTGTGTCTTGCGTGAAAGTTTCGTAATTACATGATATCTGTGTTCGTTAATCGTGCTTTGGCGGCCTACTTTGCCGGAGAAAGTAAGAACGAGCCGAGCCGAGCCGGGCCAGTTGGGCAGGCGTGTTGTAGCATTTCTTTCTTTAACATCATTCTTTTAGTAATTGATTACATAAGGCGAAAAAGTTGGCGCTCTTTGGGTCACAGCGTTAACATTGCGTTGCGTTGCGTTGTGTTGCGTTGTGTTGCGTTGGCGTCTTAAACGAGCGGTCCCATTAATAGACGCTCTTACGGTTCTTGCTCTCAGCTCTGACACTGGAATAACGGCATTTTGGACTTAAGATGAGTCTATGGTGCTTACCTAATTCTGAAAACTTGTTTTGCATTGTCTCTTGCTGCAGTCTGTATGCTTTGTGTACTATTTTCACCGCTTACTATTTGGCCTGATTTACTTTGTACACATGTATGTACACACGTGCATGAAAGTATGTCTATATGATGTTGGCTTATTTTGTTGCAATCTGGAAATGCTGTCCATTCTATTAAAATTACATTCATTACATACATTGTAAAAGTTAGAAGGCATTTTTAAAGATCTTTGATTTCAAAAGGGTTCAAACTATTCGCAATATTTGTCCCTCCTTGGTGAATATGGGAGTAAAAGTTTTGATGGATAATTTTTAATTCCCAAAGATATTTTTGAGGATTTATTTCACATTTTTCGTGCATCCACCCATTCTTGGATGAAAAATTGGGGTCAAAGCTTAAATGAGCGGGCGACACCCGCAACTGTGGAAATTTACCGGTTGCATGCAACTTTTTTACCCGATCGGCTCCAAACTCATTTTAAGAGAACTTTGTAAAAATTTATTTGATTCGTTTTTCACACTTTACTTAAAATCTACCCCTTTTCATTATTATTATTACGATTAATATTTATATTATCATTATTATTATTATTGCATCACACAGCAAAGCTGTGTTTTGCTAATGCTGAAGCAATCTATGCACAACCAGATAAATATAAGTCTGGATGTCAAGGATGTTGAGTCTGAGTTAGGCAAACTTCTCGTAAACTCTAGAAAGCTGAAAGAGCGACGGAGAAGACAAGACAAGACAAGAGACCAGACTGATATTCCGACATCTGTGTTACCAAAAGAAGGTCAAAAGAACTAAGCATAAAAGAAAGTCGGGATAAAGAGAGGTTTTAACTATTATCGAAACTTTATTGCGATCCATCTAGATCTAGAATTTTACGATTGCTGCTAAATTTTTAAAGTCAACCATCCGTTGGCCTTCTAACCTTCTGGCCCATGAATTTACCCTTGTGCAGGGTATCTCCTAGTCGGGCACTCCCGACTAGAGCGGCCTGGTACATACAAACTTGCAGCAGCGTTATTCCTCACTTGGAGGTGGAATTTTCTAGAAATTCAATTTAATCCAACAATCAAACGACTTTTGTTTTTTTTTTAGTTTCAGTTTCAAAAAACAAAAAAGACTTTTTATATTTCGATATATAGAATATGTATATTTTTAGTTTATATTATTAAATATATGTACATATTAACATTACATAAGAAACTACGACACTAAAACGTATTTTTGGTAATTTAACAGCTATGAACTGATTTGGAACTGAGCAAAATAAGTTATTAGAAATTCTATGACAAATTGCATTACAAACAATGGGTACAGAGTATAAAAGAAAGCCGCACCATAAGTATGTCACGTTGTTGCCGTTGTTGTTGTTGCCGTTGTTGTTGTTGTTAATACCGCTATTATTACTCTTACTTCTGAGATTGGCGTCGCTGTCGCCGCGTGCATTGACTTTCCATTCATGTGTGCGTTTGTGGAATCGAAAAGCTGACGGAAAGACTGTGTGCTTGTATTTTGCAATAATTTTATTTTAACATTTTGTGTTTTTTCTTACCTGAATAAACAATTTAAATAAATACAATTTTTAATATCTCTATATACTTATAAAACTGTTTGACCTGACTGATTAATGATCAACGCACAGCCCAAGCCTTAAGAGCTAGGAAGCTGAAACTAACCTTATGTGATGAAAATGCTCGTCTGATCGGCCTCAAATTTCATTTGACCCATCGATTTTAAATTTGTTTGAATGCCAACTGATATTAGGGATCCGTACAAATTTAAAAACGTATAACATTTCAAAATCAGACGATATTTAACCGAGATACTCATAAAAAATCGTCAAAAAAGTTTTGATTTTCGAACCGACCCCGATTTTTAGAAAAAACGTGATGTAACCCCTTGCCATTTTGTCGATTTTGGTGAAAATTTAGATTTTTATTTTTTTGATGCCAATTGATAGTACTGATCCTTACGAGTCCAAAATGGTATAAAATTTCCAAATCGGACATTATTTGGCCGAGATATCCGTAAAAATCATCAAAAAAGGTTAACTTTACAAATTAATCGGTTTTTAGTCAGCCAAATTTTTGTATCCATCGATTTTTTAAATATTTAAATGCAGATTGATAGTAGGGATCCCAACGAATTCAAATAGGTATAACATTTCAAAATCAGACAGTTTTTACCCGAGATATTCAATAAAAATCATCAAAAAAGTTTTGATTTTCGAACCGACCCCGATTTTTTGAAAAAACGTGATGTAACCCCTTGCCATTTTGTCGATTTTGGTGAAAATTTAGATTTTCATTTTTTTGATTGATAGTACTGATCCTTACGAGTCCAAAATGGTATAAAATTTCCAAATCAGACATTATTTGGCCGAGATATCCGAAAAAATCATCAACAAAGGGTAACTTTACAAATGAATCGGTTTTTAGTCAACCAAATTTTTTTAACCATCGATTTTTAAAATATTTGAATGCAGATTGATAGTAGGGATCCCAACGAATTTAAAAAGGTATAACATTTCACAATCTGACAGTATTTACCCGAGATATTCAATAAAAATCATCAAAAAAGTTTTGATTTTCGAACCGACCCCGATTTTCAGAAAAAACGTGATGTAACCTCTTGCCATTTTGGCGATTTTGGTGAAAATTTAGATTTTCATTTTTTTGATGCCAATTGATAGTACTGATCCTTACGAGTCCAAAATGGTATAAAATTTCCAAATCGGACATTATTTGGCCGAGATATCCGAAAAAATCAGCAAAAAAGGTTAACTTTACAAATTAATCGGTTTTTGGTCAACCAAATTTTTGTATTCATCGATTTTTAAAATATTTGAATGCAGATTAATAGTAGGGATCCCAACGAATTCAAATAGGTATAACATTTCAAAATCAGACAGTTTTTACCCGAGATATTCAATAAAAATCATCAAAAAAGTTTTGATTTAGGGATCATATCGAATTTAAAAAGGTATAACATTTCAAAATCTGACAGTATTTACCCGAGATATTCAATAAAAATCATCAAAAAAGTTTTGATTTTCGAACCGACCCCGATTTTTAGAAAAAACGTGATGAACCCCTTGCCATTTTGTCGATTTTGGTGAAAATTGAGATTTTCATTTTTTTGATGCCAA